TTTACTCCTTTTTACCTTTTAGTTTAGGGCTTTGAAAAGTCAAAAGAAAAAGTTAAAATAAATAAATAAGAAAAACGTCTAAATAAAGAAGGAAAGGAGAAAAAGAAAGTAAAAAATATAATTTGACTTTATTGACACTTCTAGCTTAAGGTCTAGACATAGCTAATGCAACCTAAAAATATGGGTATTTGAACCTCTTTTTATTTATAAATTATTAAAAAGATCTATGAAAAGTGGCACATTTTGTTATATTAATTAAAAATTAAAAAAATTAATGTGGATAGAAAAATTTGAACCACAAATCTATAAGTTATGCACCCCCTATTTGTACTTACTTATCAATATACTAGAGTATTCTTTTTAACCTTGGGTTCACCAATACAAATTTAAAAAGATAATTAGAAAAATAGTAGTATTATATAGGGGTTAGGAAGGGGAGGATGGGTGCATGTGAACCCCCTCCCCTTCATGTACATACGCCCCTGTTTACCACTCGCGACTAACATTAACCATTTATTACGTGGGCTGACTTCGAGTTTGTATAATTAGCCACCTTTGTATATGTATAATTCGCCACATTTGTATAATTCGCAACTAACAATTCTTTGTTTGATTTTGTATATGACGATAATTTCCTTTGATTTTTCAGTTTTGTCATCATATACATTCAATCTTTTTGTGTATAACTTTTTAAAGTTTGTATAAACGTGTAGTTTTTGGATTTTGTATAATATAATTTATATAATGTAATTTGTATAATATATTTTGTATAACTGTTTAAATTTCATGTTTGTATCAATTCATTATTTTGAGTTTTATTACATTTGTATAATTCCAGACTTTATATTACTTAATTATACAAAAACACGCGAATTATACAAACGTACCTGTGAATTATACAAATTATTGTCCTCTCTCGCTCGCCTCTCTCCTCCCTCTCCCAGTCTCTCTCGCCACTCCTCCCTATAACATGTAGCTACGAATCGTAATTAGAAAACTATAGTTATGTTGCATGATTAGTCTATTTTTGAGTGGCTATATGCGAAAGTTCCTCATTAAACTAAGTAGACTAAACATTTAAAGTGAGGATTGGGTAGAGGAGAAGTAATAGTAGTGAAGCTTTTCTATTTAATTAGGACGTATTTGTAAGAGTTTGGGCTAGACATTCGGTAATTCGGTTCAATTTCTTATTTTTTGGTTTTTTGGATTTTCGGTTCTTGAAATAGTTGTACCGAACACCAAACCAAATTATTTCAGTTCGAATTTTGTTAATTCAGTTCGGTTTTTATTAGTTCAGTTTTTTATTATTGGCCTGTTTAGTGGGCTTTTTAAAAGTTAAACTTTTACAATTTTTTTAGCTTAATGGGCTAAAATTAAGTGGTCCTTAAAGTGTTAAAGCTATTACTCTATTAATATTTAATATTAATATATATATTATAATATAATATATTTCGGTTAAACTAAAATACCAAAAAAATACAAAAAACATATACCAAAAATCGAACTGAAATACTGAAATTGAAATATCGAAAAAAATTGGTTCAGTTCGGTATTTTGGTATTTATGTCCAGCCCTAGACTAAGAGTCAATTTTTTTTGGAAAGAAGGTTAAAAATACCCCCAACTTTGATTTATTAGTTGACTATGCCCTTACCGTCAAAACGAAGTTATTCATACCCTTACCGTTAAGAAACTTATCACATTTATTGAACTAATGTCTAAATATATTTTTAGCCCAAATAACATAGGAATATGTTCTCAGTCCTTGTTAAACTAGGTCTTGCACTATTATAAATAGAGGTGATGCTAGATATTTTTAATAGACAGAAATAGTGGAATACTTTGGAGAAATATTTGAGTTTATGAATAAAATATTTTTCATCAAATTGGTATTAGATCTTCTACCATCTTGATAAAGAATCAAAGAGTTTCTGTTATCGGTGAATGACTATGACAAATATGTCATCTGTCTGGCTAGTGATTATGTTAACAAACGTATGACCAATGATTATGTTTAACAAAATTTGTGTCGATGGTATATGCATGAAAAAAATTACGCTGAGAAGAAAGACTGAGAATAATATTGCATGTTTTAAAAAGTGAAAGTAAATGTGCACAAGTACTGAAGAATTTCTTCTCTAAAAGACAGAGAGAAATAGTTGGACATAAAAAAAATTGAAAATTGATTACAAGTTTTTTAAATTATTTTTTTATGTCTAGGGTGTTATATATCGGAATATGCATACAAGAGGGGGTTTGGCCTTACCTTCGAATATAACACAAGGATACAAATTTATCCTTCAAAAAAGAGGACAAAAGAAGTTATCTTAGACCGTCCAACCCTCACAAAAAGAACAACCTATCTAGCTAACTAACAAAAAAATTTGTCTTATCATATTTGAGCCTTATAATAGAAGGCATTTGGCTCTTGGCCAGTTGGAATGGACCCCTAACCCCTATCGGAAGTTGTTGATAGGTGTCATAATAGGCCTCTTTCTGACTGCTCGCGGCTAATTTAGCAAGATGGTTTGCAACCATATTGACCTCCCTGAAATAGTGTTCTACCTTGGCATTTGCAAGTTTCTTCAGATGTTGAACCTCTTCAATGATCCTTATTAGTTTATAATTATAGCATTTGTTCTCGTTGATCATTTGGACAAGAGATAACGAATCTACTTCAAGGGTAAAGTCTCTATAATTCAAAAGTATACATATGCTCAAACCATATTTAACTGTCAAGGCCTCTGCTTCCAGTTTAATGTCACATTGTAGGCCATCACAAATTCACCTTTGTTGTCTCTTAACACCCCTCATATACCAGCTTTAACAGTAGGAGAGGTGAAACTGCCAAGTTGATTACAAGTGAATCAACAAAATTGGATGTTGATGAAAAAGTGCATCAACTAGAATTGGAGAGAAGTTCTTGAACAATAGAATGTTGAAGAGAAGTACTTCAATAATTGAATGTTGAAGAGAAGTACTTCAACAATTGAATCTTGATGAGAACTGCATTAACTATTGGAAGTTGAAGAGAAACGCTCCAATACAATCAAGAAAAAAAAATAACTGGGAGTTGGAGATAATTGCTCCAATACAACAACAATGACGACAAGAAAAAAAAATACAATTTTGAATTACGAGAGAATGTCCAAATAATAATTCAAAGTAGACGTAATAATTCAAATTGTTTAGGATTTGATATTTATTTAATTCATGTCTAAATAAGATTTTTAGCCTAAATAATACAAGAATAAGTTTTCTAGTCCTAAATAAATTAGGCATCCTTTAAGATACGTTAAAAATAGTTATCGATCAAAGTTAGATTAATTAAAAAGGACTTGTTTCATGTAACACATGAAAAAAGAATCATCTTTGCTAGGATTTTCTTCTCTGATTTATCACAAAAAAATGTTTGTGGTAGAGTCACTTTACTCTATGGTGAGTGTTGTTGATCGCCCATTTAGCAATATTGACAATTTCATAACTAGTAAAACTCATGAGTGAGGATAGAAATTGATTTATTAAAAGAAAATCCATAACGAATAAGAATTTCTTGTATTATTATCTCTTAAAATAATGTCAACAGTGGGATCCGCTGTTTGATCCAGTTGAAGAGACGTCAATAGCAATTACTTGGATATTGTTTCCATCATTACCACCAAATTTCTTTGGGAAAGAGTATTTTTTCACTTGTAGCGGCAGTTGGAAAGCCTTTACAGGTGGACTTAGCAGCACAAAATAGGACAAGACCTAGTTGTGCTAGGGTGAAGGTGGAGGTAGATCTTTTAGGGAATTTTTCTAAAAGAATCAATCTGGGAATGAAGACAGAGGCTGGGGAGATAAGGGAGAAGTGGATTACAATTAAGTACGATTATGTACCCAAATACTGTAAGTCCTGCAAGTTACAGGGGCACAATGAGCAGGAATGTTTTGCAATTCATCCAGAATTATACCAACGAGAAGAGGGGGAGAATCAGGAGACCAAAAACAAGGAAGGAGATAAGGGGATTCGAAGATTGGATACGTTTACATAGAAGGAACAAGAGAACCCGACTGTCAATAATGACTTCCAAGAACAAATGGGGAAAAAGTTATGGGAGGGGTAGGCAGATGGAAAAAGGAGGAGCTGAGAAAGTATGGTATCCTAGACCTAAACAAACTAGGACTAATGAGGTCACTACTACAAACAAGTTTGGAGCATTGGAAGGTGAGCACAAGGAAGAATCACATAAAGAAAGGGACAATGACAGAAAAAATGAAGAAAAAGGGACCTGAGTAGAGGAACAAGTACAAGATACAACACAACATGAGGAAAGGAACAAAAAAAAAAGTGAACGATACACAAAACTCTGCTATGGACAAAGATGATGCTCAAAGTGCAATCAAAGATGTGGTCAATATACCTGATAAATCAGAGCAGTCAGTGAAAGGGGGGAATGATAAAGAAAAGGAGGCAGATGGGGAAACTTAGAGGGGAATAGGAGAAGAAGTTGACACCGGAGAGCATCCAGATGTTGGGGATAATCATATGGGAGAGGAAGAGAATTCACAAAGCCAATATGTCACAATACCACCTCCAAAGATAGATAAACTATCTGAGCAGGAAAGAATAGAGTTACAAGAAAGAGAGGAAGATGAGACTATGGACAGAAACATTGATGACATAGGTAGAGAATGTGATCTTTCACCTAGGCAGATCAACCATCTAAAGGGGAAGAGCAAAAAATGAGGTAACATATCTCAAACTCTTTCACAGATAAACACAAGGAGTAAAAATGGGTCCACCTCAACCAATATTTAATGATTAACAAAGCTCTTTTTTGGAGCATTAGGTCTGTTAGGACTCAAAAGGCCTTTGATAGACTTATTGAATTACATTAATGACATCATTACTCATATATTGCTCTATTAGAGCCATTTCAAAGTCCTTCAGAATTAGAAACATACAGAAGAAGACTAGGCATGCCAAATGCAAAGGTAAATTGTGCAGCCAAAATATGGATCTTTTGGGAGGAAGATTGGGAAGAACAGGATGTAGTAGACTATGTACAACAGTTACAATCAGATTAAAAAAAAAAGGATCAAATGATTATTTCAGAAACACAGCAGTTTATGCTAGGTGTTCTGCACTGGAAAGATTGGAATTATGGGAGCAACTGGAAGAGATAGCAGAAAACTTTACCATACCATGGCTGGTTGGAGGAAATTTTAACACAATCATGGATGAAGCTGAGAAATTGGGAGGCTTACTTGTGACACAAACGGAAATAGTAGATTTTGTGCAATGTACAAATGCTTGTGCATTAAATGAAATCAAATTCAAGGGCAGTTCATACACATGGTGGAATGGCAGAATTGAGGAAGAGAGTATTTTCAAAAGTATTGATAGGGTATTTGGTAACAATGAACTGATGAGATTAAAACCTAACAGTGAGGTACATCATCTGATAAGGCAAGGGTCAGACCATGCCCCCTACATGTGATTGGTAACAGTTTACAAGAAACAGTGACAAAACCATTTAAGTTTTTAAATTTTTGGACCAAGTACAATGAATTTAAAAAGGTTGTGAAAGATAGCTGGAATGGAGAAGAGATTAATGGGAATCCTTTCACAGTGATTCATAGTAAGATGAAGAGAATTAAGTCTGTCTTAACACAGTGGAGTAGAAGAACCTTTGGGCATATTTTTCAGAGAATTGCCACTTTAGAAGACACCATTAAAGTTATGGAAATACAAATGGAGATTACACCAACAGCAGAAAACAGAGCTTTACTTCATAAGGCATAAGCTGAGTTAAAAAACTATAGACATATAGATGAGGAGTTTTGGAGGTAAAAGGCAGGAATGAAGTGGTTCAAAGAAGGTGATAGAAATATCAAGTTCTTTCATGCTTATGTAAAAGGGAATAGGAGAAAGCTACAAGTTATGGATATTCTTACTGACCAGGGGGACAGAATCTCTACTACACAAAATATAGGGGAAGAAGCAGTAAATGTCTTTAAGGAACAGTTCAGGGAGAATCAAGAGACCACAAACTATGATATGCTGGAATACATTCCTACCCTAATAAACGAGGAACAAAATGCTAATATGGGAAGAATGCCTACAGAAGATGAAGTCAAAATGGTGGTTTTTACTCTAAATGGAGAGAGCGCTAGTGGGTCAGATGGTTTTTCAGGCAAGTTTTTTCAGAGCTGCTGGGATATTGTTGGTAATGATGTGACTAATATGGTGAAGGCTTTTTTCTGTGGACAAGACCTACCCAGGTACATTACACATACTAATTTGGTGCTCATACCAAAGAAGGAGGTGGTAGTAACTTATGGGGACCTTAGGCCAATAAGTCTAAGTAATTTTGTCAATAAAATACTTTCAAGAATTATTCATGAAAGAATTGTGACAGTGCTCCCAGGAATTATTTCAACAAATCAATCATGTTTTGTCAAAGGAAGAAGCATAACAGAGAATGTGTTACTGGCCCAAGAGATAGTAAGAGACATAAACAGGAGAAATAAACTACATAATGTGGTGGTAAAGTTAGACATGGCAAACATATGATAGGGTATCTTGGAAATATTTGGTGAGAGTGATGAGAAAGTTTGGATTTTCTGAATGACTTATAGATATGGTAGTAAGACTGATTAACAATAATTAGTATTCAATCTTAATGAATGGACAGTCATTTGGTTTCTTTCAGTCTTCTAGAGGGCTGAAACAACGAGACCCATTATCATCGACTCTGTTCATTATTGCAACTGAGGTATTGGCAAGAGGACTCAACAACTTGTATGAAGATTCAGATTTCAAAGGTTTTGGGATGGCTAAATGGTTCCCTGAAATCAATCATTTATCATATGCAGATGATACCATTCTCTTTTGTTCAGGGTAATCATCCTCAATTAGAAAGATGATGCAAATTCTAAGAAAATATGAACTGGTTTCAGGACAAATGATTAACCTGAACAAAAGTCTAGTCTACTTACATGACAAAGTTCTTCTAGGAGTTTGTAACAGAATAAGAAGGCTCACTGGAATTAGGCAAGGGCCTTCCCTTTCATCTATTTGGGATACCCCATCTTTTATGGAAGGAAAAATAAATCACACTTTGAGAGTTTAGTCAAGAAGGTAATTAAGATATTACGCTCCTAGCAGAACAAGCTCTTGTCCTTTGGTGGAAGATACATTCTGATAGCCCATGTATTGCAAACAATGCATGTTTATTTATTGTCTGCCATGAACCCCCCCCCCCCAAAGTGTAATTGATCAGTTGCATAAAATTTTTGTAAGATTGTTTTGGGGTAATGCAACTGGAGCCAGAAACAAACATTGGGTATCATGGGATAAAATGTGCTACCCTAAGGAGGAGGGAGGTTTGGGTTTAAGGTCATTACATGACATATCCAAAGCTTTATTTGCAAAGATATGGTGGAACTTTAGAACAACTACATCCTCTCCATGGGGAAGTTTCATATGGAATAAATACTGCAAAAAACTTCATCCAATTTTGGCAAAAGGATAGGGAACATCGCATGTGTGGAGAAAGATGACTGCTATTAGGGAAGAGGTAGAGCATAACATTTGGTGGCAGCTTAAGGATGGCAACTCTAGTTTCTGGTTTGATAACTGGACCAAACAAGGAGCACTCTATTAAGTAGAAGGAGATAGTGCAGTAAATAAAGAACTAGAGGTAAGGTCTTTCAGTAGACATGGAACCTGGGTCATATAAGGTCTGAGGTGGGTACTGTTTGAAGAAATGACTGTATATATTGTGAATCATATTAAGCCTCCAAAAGATAACCACAACAATGATGCAGCTTGGTGGATGAGTAATTCAGAAGAAGTTTTCACAGTCAACTCAACCTAAAATTTAGTGAGGCACAGAAAAGAAAGAAGAAAGGACTTTGATTTCATATGGGCAAAAGGATTGCCATTGAAAATCAATTTTTTTGTTTGGAGGCTATGGCTCATGGTGACAATCTGAAAAAAAAATGAAAATTCAAATTGTCTCAAGATGTTGGTGTTGTGAAGTAAAGGCAGAAGAAATCATGACACATTTTGTCCTAACAGCCCCCATAGCCAAAAGGCTATGGAGGCATTTTTCTATTTTTGCAAGTATAAATATGAAGGACAAGCACTTACAACAACTTCTTATACAATGGTGGAGTCTAGATGCCAATCCTAAACTTCAGCTATTGTATAGAGCAGTCCCAGCAGTCATTATGTGGACAATATGAAAAATGAGAAACAACTTGAAACATGAAAAGACTGTTACATTTGAAAACATGGTGGAATAGGTAGAAGAGATGTTGAGGAAGCTAGTAAGAGGAGTGTATCCTTGGATAAGACCAGAAAAAGCAAATTGGCCACACCTAGTAGCAAAATTGCAGAACTATAAGCCGAAGATATATCACCACAGCGTAGTTTGGCAAAGGCCAGAGAGAGACAAAGTAAAATGCAATACAGATGGTGCAAGTAAAGGTAACCCTGGAGATAGTTCATTTGGATTTTGCATCAGAAATCATGAAGGTAATTTACTATATGCAAAGGCAAAAGGAATTGGAGTGGCAACAAACATAGAGGCTGAATCAATGGCAATCTTGGAGGCTTTGCAGTACTGCATGGGGAAGGAACTGGTGGGAGTCATAGTCGAAACAGATACTTTGAGCCTAAAAAAGATGATTGAAAAATAGTGGAAGGTACCATGGGAGCTGGTAGAAAGGATTGAGTAAATAAGAGTTCTTGTACACAAGCTACAAGCTTCATTAACTCATGCATTTAGAGAAGGAAATTGTGTAGCAGACTCTTTAGCAAATGAGGTGGTTGAATCACAAAGCACAAAGGAATACAACACCTTTTAGGAGCTACCAAGTTCAACCAGAAGACATTAATTTAGATAAAGCATAGGTACCAAACATCATATTCAAGACAAGAAGAATCATAACACCAACATGTTGATAATGTGGAAGAAAAGCATAAACAGTCAAGAACAAGGGAATCATAGATACAACAGTGTGAGAATAACATTGAACAAGAATTGTAAACATCAAGAAAGTGACAAGAGAAATATTGTGTTACAGAAGGTTAGGACTATAATTTACAGCTACCAAACGCCCCATCAAGTTGGGTCGCGGAGCTTTAGAGATATCAAGTACACAATGAAGCGAAATAGAGAGGGCAGGCTCAATGACTTACAAGATTAGAGGGGGCGGAGCATATACTAACGGCCAATTGGATAGAATCCCGACCATCTAAGGAGAAAAGAGAAAAAGGAAGATATATGTCAATAATATATACGATAGAAACGAAAAGGAAGAAGAGGATTGAGTCGTACCATGAACTAGAGAGTAGATCATCAAAGCCACTAAATTGGCGGAGCAGCCATGAAAGAAGAATCTTCAAATTCAACCTACAAATACACTTATGATGAAGAGAGAGTAAACTTCAAGACAAGAGTACTTCAGTTGGAGGAAGTACAACAGTGGACTAGACTAGGGAATAGCTTTTAGAAACTTTTCACCTTTTCTTTTGGATCAGGTCTTTTTGCTGGACTTTGGTCATTTTGTTTTCTTTGTTTCTTTCTTTTTTGTAGTGGGCCATGCCTATTTAGCTTATGAATAAAAGGGTCTACGGACTAAAAATCCACTTAAAAAAAGGTCAACATTATAAGCATCAAGGTATTAGTACTAAAAGGAGAGAAATGATGAAGAAGATAAGATAGAAGTACATAGATCCCAAGAGGGAGATTGAGAAAGAAACTGAGGGAGTATATTGAGATATCACTTTTAGCATGCCTTACAAAAGTAATGGTATTGAAACGATGGAGAACATTCATTAGCCATGTGGAATTGCTTATGAATTGGTGAGTTATAATGGTGAAAAGTTGACTTCTCTTACATCTATTAATACTAACAGGTAACTACAAGTTGGTGGTAGTTGTACCTTCTTGTGACGCTCCGAGTTTACACCCTAGACGTGGACGGCACTTGAAAATCATTGTTGGTCCCCAAACGGATCCTTAGTCTGACTGACTATTTAGTGGAACACTAACTCAAGCAAACATAGGCTTAAAACTAAAGAACATGTAAAACCATTAACTGAATCTTAAAACTCTCTGAAAATATTGAATATAAATGATAAAGTTTAGCAAAACATCTGAGAATGAATATTGAAAGACTATCGAAATCTACTTATCTACGAAGCCTCTACTATCTAAAGATAGATGTCAGGACAAGATTCACAACGACCTTTAAGCAAAACTACTAAAGAAGTAACAGATCGGAGTCCTCCGAAAGCAAGGAGGCCTCACCAAAACTAATGAGTGGGTGATGTGATCTCAACGATGCGTCTGTTGATGATCTTGAATACAGGTACCTGCATCATGAAATTATATAGGTCGAATGACGTTTGTAATGTATAGTATGCAGTAAATTCGAATAAAAGAAATAACTGAACTGAAGGACTGAAGTAGCTCAACTGAAGTAAAGCATGAACATAACGTAAAATAGTTTAAGCTTTACAATATAAGATGCAATAATAGCAAATACTGAAATATATATCTACTTTACTTTACCAGGGAGTTATTCTAACCAACAACCATCACTATGAGTCTCATGATGATACAACGTCTTACCTACGTTGCCAGTTATACCTTGTCAAAGTACAGAATGCAACTTTAACTTATGGATCCACTAATAAACCTTCTTCAGGCAGGTGAGGAGTCGCCCGTCTTGCGGTGCGATCCTATCTATACTGGCGGCGTAGGTTATGGAGTTTGAGTTGTCTTAACT